GGGGTGGGGGGGGTGTGTAGGTGTGGGGGGGGGGGGGTCGGGGGGGGGGGGGGGGGGGGGGCGAGGTTGGCGCTCTTATGTGGTCAGTGACATAAGATGACAGTTAAGTTATCATCTCGTGTCAATAGATCATGTCTGCCCACTATCTGGAAACATAGCTCAAGTGGATGTTGTCCTCTGTTTTTGTTTAAGTTTAGAGTTTGCGAGATACGTTTCATGAGTTAAATCCATACAGCTGTCTTTCCATCTCTGCTGGGGAGTCCCCAACTCAGTGGTTTATCTTATAAATTTGGTTGTTTGTATTTGTTTGCCTCTGTTGTCTTACAAGATCAGAAGCTGATAGCTCCTGAAAATTATGATAAAATTAGCGAACTAGGACTGAAAACTGGTCATCATTGGTTGAAACTGTTCAGTCCTAGTTCGCTACAGTTTTCATATTAGAACTGTAGTAACAAGTTTACAAAATTTCCGTGCATTATTTTGTCACCAAAAGTGTTGATATTGTTCACGTGTGTGTGCTTCAGTGTGAGAGAGTTTGTACATGCAGTCTTGGTCATACACTCAAAAAAGTCTCTAGCTTGATGTATGTAAAGACACACAATCCTACAGTTGCCATACTTTCATGTGTTCTGGTGTACTGCATGACAGTGTGCATGTTGTGGAATATGCTACTTATATGTTCTGTCATCTGGCACATTCATTATTGAACTCAGTGGGTTTGTTTAAAAAGAGAGCAGATTAGAGCATTTCTGGCATTTTCACTTTTAGCAGACAGGTATTCTGTATTGATTTTATATGTACTTATTAAGGCTGAACACGGCTGTGATACGCAAGCAAAATATATATGTATAACACGGTAGTGTTATACAATTTGTCTCTGCCTTTAAATCACATTTTCAATCACGGAAGAGAAACCAAAATTAGAAACAAAAATCTCAGTAGAGTAATTTATTTAAGTAATTGAAGATACACCCCTTTCAGATGACAGAAAATGGAAACCCGGTGCCGACTCTAAAATTGTAGAAATACTTTGGCCTCATTATAGTCATTTCGCTCTTTTGATCTCTTCCACCAAAAACAGTCACTACACCTGGGGAAATTTCAGGTGAGGCCATTCCCAGGTCCGAGCGTTATGTAACCTTCCTACCCGGAGAACATATCCGTGTTCAGGGCTACTATGGAATGTAATATAGTCCCTGTATTTAGTTTTCTGATACTTCCTATTAATCACGTATGTTACCTGTAGTTCCTTTATTATTCCTATAAATTACACACATTTAGTGATAGTGATTGGACACGCAGGACTTAGAGCGATTCCCTATAAAATGAGGGCTTCTCAGTTAGTAAGAGAGAGACCCCGGGAGATCGTCGTGACTGTCCCTGCCTGCGTGCCAGATTGTAGCCCGTCAGCAAATAAAGATCTTCATGAGATACCATTGATGTCTTCGGTG